TGACTGTCTGTTGCTTCACCTTTCATGAAAATCTAATTGAGTGCAAACAACTGCTTAAATAATTCAATGGTCTAAGTTATTCTTGGCTGGTATAACCCTGCCTCATGCAGTGCAAAGGACTGGGTGTCAAGCAAGGTTTTGGCATCGTGTTTGTGTGTGTGCTGAATGTAAGATAAAATCACAGCTGGAAAAGTGTGCTGGTTTATTAGGAAGGAAAGGAAAAAAGATTAAATGTCAATTAGCTCCCCCACTTTGGCAAATGACTTGTGACTAAGAGGTGCAAGTTCTTCTAAAACACATCCTCTAAAAGACGTTGTATTTGTGGTGCTGTTCATAAATGTTATCTGATTTTGGTTGCTTCCTGTTCATGTTTCCAACCTTTATGTTCTTATCAAATATAGTGTGTTTTTATAGTATTGTTTTTCATAATTTTAGAATGCTATATGCTTTTTATTTTTAATTTGAATTTTGGACATAAGAGATGACTAGCTAGTTGACCCAAATATTTTCCCTTCTTCTTTTTTTTTTTTTTCCAAAGAAACCCAACCTCCTCCTTTCAACCAAATCCTTCTAGAAAGCAGATTTTGTCCCTTCTTTCCTAAATGCTCCTTCATTTCCTTGTTTTCTTCCGTTGGCTATTTCTTTTCTGTTCACTTCTACCCTCAAATGATTCTTTTTTTAAAAAAAAAAATATTATTATTTTTTTTACAAAAGGTAGATGTAGAATTAAATTACTAATCTCTTGCCACCGTATTGCCTTTGCTTATAAATTGTTGTTCCCCCAAACTGAAGAGCTCTAATAGCCCTCGAGGTCCATTACATAGAGCATTTGAGCTCTTTTAATACAAAGGCTTGGCAACCCTGTAGTTCAGGGGGCTTTAAAGTGACTTTTACTAATTCTGTGCCTTTCCGGACAATCTTAGATCTTGAAGAAATATTTTTATATGTAACACCAATATTTAAGCGATGCGAGAACAGTGGGTGGAGTCCGATCAGGTCTGTTCTCCAGGGTTCCTTTGAAATAACATCACTATAAGACCACTGCTGTTTAAACAAAAGCCTAAGTGCATTTGTTCAATGGCCGAATGCATTTTGGAATTATCACCAGTACAGAGACAAATTTCACTCTTTAAAGTAAAATTAGAGCATTGAACCCAGTCATTAACCATCATGCTGAACAGAAAAGAGCTTTGAGACCATTGGGAGAGTGGTTTGAGCAAAAGAGTTTCAGCTGTAACCCACCAGCTGACTCAGCAAAGTGCCCTCTCCTGAAAGCTTATTAAAGGTAATGCAATACCTATGGAATTAGATGTAGTATAAAAACACCTGGGCCTTGAGATCATCAGAGGATTACTTTCGTGGAAAATATGAAGTCATCTCTAGCTTCAATGTGAAGAGGGATCTGTCAGCGTCTGTAGGGTTTTGGTTTGCTTTGTTTTTTCCCTCTTCTTCCTCCCTGAAAGGTAGAGAGGAGGCAGCTGATGCAGTTCTGGCTATGCTGTGGTACCTAGGCAAAATGGAGTACTCTTTCATACAGTCCAAATGGTGGAAGGACAAGAAAACTGCATTTCTTCTT